TAAGTTATTGTGTGAATAATTAAATATGTAATTCAATGACTTTTATTTACAGAAACATTGCACTGAGCCGAAGATTGAAACTAGTTCATCACTGTTTTCGGAGATCAAAGAAACAGACCACTTTGTTGATAAAACGAAATTGATAAAGGTTCTTTTTAGTGATTCACGATATGTTCTGATAACAAGACCTAGAAGATTCGACAAATCCACCAACATGAACATGGTAAAAGAGTTTGTGGGGAAGAAGATTTACACAACAGGAGGTTAAGTAGGACAGGAGATCCTGAGGTCACCAGAAAATGATCGTGCATTTCCTGAGATGAATTTGCGCCTGTTTGAAGATGGAAACTTCGAAATTTCTGAGTAGGATGAGTTTTCATATCATCGTGGAAAATATCCGATCATTTACGTAGATTTTCAATCGGTTGAGGGTGATAGTACTGATAGTTATTTCAAAATTTTGCTTACGTTTGCTGATGCTATCAGAGCTGAATTTGATAAGTACAGGTATTTACTGTGGTCAACTGAAAAACATCGTGAGAGATTCAATAATATTAATAATAATAATATTAATAATGCTAAAATTTTCGTAGATAATAAAGGTAACAACTGAGGGTAACTAAGTAGTTAAGAAATAAATATTGTTTATATGTATAAGTGTTTGTATGTATGTATATATGTTGAGTCCACCGTAGGCACATGCCTGTTGGACAAAAATATATTATTATTATTATTAATATCTCATTTGAAAATCGAATTGTCAGAAGCTTAGATGTGTGAAATCTTGTATCAACTTGTGCCCATTGGAAAGAAAGAAAAAAATAATTTTGTGATTTAAAAAAGTGTATATTTTAATTAGATGTACTGTGGTGACCGAATTTAAATCAAAGTTTTCGTGCTGAAATTAATTAACAGCGGCGTGAAATCACATTTGAATAATTTGAAAAAAGATTCAATCACGAAAGGGAAATCGTTAAACATAGGCAACCAAATATGTATGTCGAGTTTAATGCACATAGCGCTTAGGGGTTAGTTTGCATGAGTATTGAGTTAGATGGCAGCACATAGCGCTAGGGAGTTTTTAGTTAGAGGGTTGGTTGTTTGGTAGAGAGAGAAACTGCATGGCGGAGATTCATTCTGAATGTGCTTGTGTGAGTGTAACCACGTGGTAAGCGCTAGGTTTAAATTAGTTGCTTTGGTCGTTAATAAAATGGGAGGAAGCCTTTATTTAACGACAATCAATCGTAACTTTCATAATGACACGGTTGTCCCCAACCCGCGCGGTTAGTTCTTGCGGCCTTTTAATCGGAGAAATGCGAACTTCCGGTGAACGCGAAACACGTGCTGTAAATTTGTTTCATTGTTTGTAAATTCACCAATCAAGTTAGTTTTTCTTAATAGTCAGCTAGTGCAAACATAGTTTAACAATTAGAATTATTTAAATAAACCACTTGCTAGAAGATTTCATGAAATTCACTTAGTCGGGAAAAACACCTTGTTTAATTACGAATAGGTTTCTGGATGCATATACGTGTTACATTATAACACTTCTAAATTCTTCACACAAGATTGCTAATAGTTGATTTACGGTAGTTAAACAAGTTCATTATACTGCGAACTGGCGGGAGGGGTTTAAAATGTTTTCTTCCCTTAGGCGGTTATCATCGTTATTATCGTCGTTATCTTGATTAATTCATCGAGGCATGCCTCACAAGGCTACAGATTGATTAATTCATCCAGGCATGCCATCACAACGCTACAGATTGATTAATTCATCGAGGCAATTCCTCGCAACGATTTTTAAAATTTACATCACCGAGACGCTTTTTCCCTCGGAGCGATGATTTGATATTTCTGTGTTTCTTTATTATGTGTTTTGTTGGGGTAAACAATTCGCGGTAACTTTCAAAGTAAATTATTTTTTTGAAGTAACCAATCACTTAGATCATGACAGAATTTAACATAATGTAAACTCTTTGTTTGAATCATTGATAAAGTGTAGCAATTATTAATCTCATGTAAATTTTGTTAACTTTGGAAATTTTCACCTCATACAATATTTCTCAATCTCACAGTTTTAATTTCAGTAATCTTCATTTGTTGTATAATTTTAATTGAACGTAAATCTCATGTTCTACAGTTTTAACCTCACATAATATTTCTATTTGTACAAAGTTTATTTCACAGTAGATCTTTTGTTCCATAAAGCCTTGCTAAGTTTGTTTTGTAAATACTTTGTTGATGAATGTTTGTATCATATAAATTGTTTGATGTCCAATTTTTATTTCACATAAGAATTATTTGTTGGTTAAATTTTCACAAGATTGTATGGCGAATTTAAATTGCTCGTTGAAACTTTAATACTTGTTTAGTTGTTGTTAATATCAGAATTATAAGAGATTGAATATTTAAAAATGGAATTGAGGTTAAATAACACAGAAAACGTGGCAGAAGCGAAGTTCGGTTCCTAGTCGGGCTGGCGAGATTGATCGTGTCACCTGTACAAGTCCACAGGTTTGGATAGAATCAGGGGCGGCCGCCGATGTTGTAAAGTTCTAGGCTTCGTGCTAGCCTAGATCCTCTCGCGGGTCGGACGACCATAATGGCCTAGTTCCGCAGGGCACGTTCGTAATGGAGATATGCGTGTGGGGTAGGCTTTGTGATAGATAGAATCACCGTCGTGGGGGGAGAATAGCCCCAGACCGGTAGCCCCAAACTTCGCTTATGCTACAACGCCCCAGGGGTACTTTTGTTGTGCTCCTGTTAACTGCGGTAACTTAAAAAAAAAGATCTGCCGCCACACGCCTGTAATAACTTGTGTATTTGCATCCCGTTACTTAATTCAGTTTTTGCTTTGTTTTATTAAATTTGTGATATTCAAATATTTGCATTGATCCCAAACAGATGTATAGAATTTTCCGTTTGTTCGTTTTTCATATGTGAATGTCTGTCAATTCGAGAGTGTTTTCTTCCATATATTTTAAGGTATTTGAAATGTAATATTTCGGTGAATAAAACCCCAGGGGGTTTTTGGGAATGAAGACCAATGACGCCGTGGCCCTGCGGAACCACCAGAAGGGCACTATGAGTCACTGTCGCTCTTCGTTTCTTTTCCTCCTAAGGAAGGATTTCGACGTCCCTAATTTTGTCTATTATTTCTTGCGCTCTCAACTCACATGCAGTATATGCTCACTTGTATGAAAGAACGCCATTTTTCAAAAACAAAAAAAAAACACAACGTAAGTTCCTATTTGTTAGACGATCACAGCCAAGGCCAAACTTTGAATTTTTAAATTTTTCGCGGGCCTTTCAAACTTTTTCGAGGTCAATTTAAAGGCGGGAAGTTTGAGTTATTACAGTATTTTGGTTATTGTATTTTGTTTTTTTAATTCAGTGTTTCAGGTAGAATGATTTTAATAAAACGTAAGCCCTAATTGCAGTATACTCATACTTTACTCATTATATTCGTATTTTTAAATAAGTAATCTTTATTTCGCTGTTCATTAAGGGCCCCACAGTTTGTAGAAGACAGGCCCGTAGTTTAATTGTTACGCCACTGATCCTACAGGATGTACATTGCAACCAAATTTGTTACAAAATGCAATATGAATAAATATAAAAACCTAAATATTCCACATCATTTGTACGAATCGCTTTGTGTATTCTGATTTTGTTAATAAGAAGAAAAAAAAATAATTTCCCAGCTGCCTCATGTGACCCATGTCACATGATAGCAAAGAATTCTATTTTTTGGAACGCCTTTGTTACTCTACTAAATAAATAATTAACGTTTTCTATGAGCTCCACATATCAAGTTTTTTTTTTAATATATACTTATAACAATAAAGTGTATACTCGGATTTTTGGTATGTATGTGGTTTGGTTTGCCAATGGTGAGTTCATTTTCAAATATTTTAAAGTGGCATGGCATTTAGTAAAAAATTGTTTTAAAACATATCAGTAGTAAGTTCGGGTAATTAGTGCATATTTAATTGCTTTTTCATTAACAGCGCTGCAAATTAGCGAGGTCTTAATTACCAGCACTTTCACTTCCTAATTAGCAGTGCAGCAAATTAGCAAAATATCTTAATTAGCAGCGCTTTATTGATATGCATATATATTTAAATTGTAATTAATTAAATCCGCTATCAAATTAATAAAGCGCGGGTAATTAAGATAATTTGCTAATTTGCAGCGCTGATATAATTAGGAAGTGAAAGGGCTAGTAATTAAGGGTGAAAGCGCGAGTAATTAAGACCTCACTAATCAGCAGCGCTGGTAATTAAAAAGCAATTAAATATGCACTAATTACCCTACCTTACTACTCATGTCACTTTGGTAGTAGTATAAACCAGCGTCGTTATATCCCTCAACACTAAAAATTTTAACAAATTGGCGACGCATTTGGTACTTACTTTTAACGTCCTAACAAAAGTGTGAAAAGAGAAGACTGCGGAATTGTGTTGCTATCTCTAAACTCTCCAAAATATTTATTTGTAAATATTAACAATTTTTATCAACTTTAAAGATCAACAGAAAAAGGTTCTATTAAGTGCGTAGAGACTGTAAAAATAAAGACAAAGTATTCAGTTCTAACGCAGGCCAATATCGGTGAGGTATAGATTAGGAGGATTATCCTTTTTTACTTTTATTGAATGCATTTTTGTATTTATTTCCGTCACACAATTTCGTCTATTAATTGGTAATAACAACCTGTTTTATATCTTCATATTTAACTCATCAATCAAATTGTGTCCCCCTATTTCAAAAGGTCACGAGCCGCCACTTCTAATTTGTACAAAAAAGGTAAGTGAACGGCTTAACTACACGATTACATTGCAGTTTTCCCACTTAAAAACACAGTTTAACATTGATTTTTCCTTTGTATTCCTTTTACATGAAGCTTAAAATAATTATTGTGGTATTATCAGTGGATCCTTAATCTGTGAAGGGAAACTATAACCATAAGAATCAGTACGACGGAGCAATAAAACAACCCGTTGATAAAATAATCTATTTACATTTTACAAGATTCAAGGTAACAACATTAGTTAGCAAACGGACGGATTAAAGGCTATCAAGACCAAAATCGTGTTTTGGTAACTAAATTAATCCTAAAAACTCATACAAATAATTAAAAATTTCTATATAAGTAATTAGCTACATCATTAAAAAAATCTTAAATCACAGAACTGCATCCTTTTTATTACACATAGCCCCATCAGGGAGAGCTTGCAGTATCACTCTGCAAATCGACAGATCACAATAAAAAAAACTGTCACGTTCCGTAACATTTTAAAAGTACACACGAAAATCACGAAAGCAATCCAAAATAAAACGAAAATGTAAACTTGAGTGAAGTTACATAATAAATAATCTGATCTGTGCAAACTAAACTCCACAAAGTTCGCAATTTTTTTCATGATATGCTATCGGAGGAAGAAACCCAAAAGTCTTCTTCTAGGGGGCGCCACTGGCGTATCGACGATTTGCTTCATGGTCACCTCGTGGGACGTGAGCTTGTGCTTAAGTTGCTCATCCAGCAGCTCCTGCATGTCCATCTGGAAAAAAGTCGTTATTAGTTCAAGCTGAAGAGGGTAAACGATAATAAAAAAACTCTTGGGAGCCGTTATTCGTCGTTTTAACATACAAAATGGACTGGACGTATTTACAAATTAATTAGTACCTACAGTATAATTAAATACTAAATACTTAGGTATGTCAACAAATTAACAACTACTGCCATACCCTTCGACCGATGAGCAATAATTTATATAATTTGCTTGTGAGTATTTAAATTACGTCAAGATGTTCATAATTACTGTCAAAACAAGACTCGTAAATTTCAACGGAAATTTCATTTGAGCTAAAATTTAAAAGTTTTCGAGCTCATCGGGCGTAGGAAACATTATAAATCACATCAGAAAGCTCAAAAGTTATTTTTCTGAAGTTTTTGAACTAATTCCTTGAATCTGCAAACGCTAGAACGTGGAAACTATATGCAATCGTCTCCTTTTCGCGGATTTAATGGTTTCTGCATTTCGTAAGTGGGTCAAGACGTTCAGAATTGTAAAAAAAAGTTGAAATATAGCGCACAACTCATAAATAAAAAAAAAAGTTGAAATATGGCGCACAACTCATAAATTTGAACGAAAGAAGAAATTTTAAGATTTTCTGGATATTTTCGGAGCCGATGAGTGCAGGAAACGCTAGAAATTGCAAGAAAAAGCGTCAAAAGTTGCATTTCTGAAAATTTTGAACAAATACCCAGTTTGGGAAAAGAAATGTCATGCCACCACAAGCAATTCCTTTCGAAAGACAATAGCATTACCTATTTGGAAAAACAATGTAAGTTTCACTAAAATTTTTGTTGGACGCAGAATAATAACAGCAGATTTGTTTAAGTAAAATTATTACCGGAGTATTTTATTTAAAAAAATTGTGGCAATGAGATATTATATTATGTAATTCGATTATAAAGAAAAACATCCCCTCATCATTTGAAACTTCTGTAGAAGCTAAAAACTAAGTTTAATAACAAATTGAGTAACACACAAAAAATAGTTCAAAATTATTATCCCGATTACTGGCAATGCGCTGTTATTATCTTTTTTCTATTTATTGTTGCAGTAAATTTAGTGCCATCATTATCGTTTCCCAGAAATCAAACTAACCGTCATTTTTCACAGTACGCCAGATGCAATTTTTTCAAAATGATGATGCAGGATTTTAGAATGAAATAAGTCGTAACAATGTAGGCTTATTGAAAAATGAACCTGAAATAATCAAATTAAGCTTGTTAAAATCGTTTTATTTACACTAAGGAGTTAACTGTGAAGGTAAGGGAGGCGAAAACAAGGAAAGAAAGCAATAGAAAATAATGCAACAGAAGAAGAAGAGAAAAGAAGGTAATAAAACGGAAGGAAAGGGAAGGTAACAGAAAGAAAAGGAAGGGAAGGAGAAAATGATGACAAGGTTTCATAAAGTTTTCTTCGAAGAAATGACTAATGGGTGAATTTTCGATATTACCAAGGGAGTCCAAAAAGGGTGAATACGCAGGTCAAAAAGCAGGAAACCTAAACTGACCCTTAAAGATAATTCTGTTTGAAATTTAGAAAAACTACTAACATCTGGATTGTACAGCATATTTGGTACTGAAAAGAGAATCGGTTCTTGAAGCGGAATAATCAAGAATGTTTTGTTGACAAACGTTATGAAAAATGGAATCACTCCAAAAAAAAAGGGGAGTGTTTGAAAGAAGACGAAGAATAGTCTGGCAGAACTAATTTGTGTTAGAGTTTTAGTGAGAGAAGTGTTGTAATAAAAAGCAATTACTTTTAGGATTATATTGCTTAAACCAACCAAGCGAAGAGGAAGAGAAGCGAATAGGAGGAAAGGGAAAAGGAGCGAGAGGACGAGGGAAAGATGGAAGGGAAAGAAAAAGGGGAGAAGCGTAGAGCAGGAAATACAAGATAAAAAAAAAATAAAAGACGTGGGACTGGAAAATCGAAAGAAGAAGAGGTTGTAAAATCATTCTAAAAGAAAGGAAAGAAGCGGAAAAGGGAGGAAAAACGGAAAGTAAATGAAGCGAGAAAAACGGAAACGGAAGAAACGGAGAAGTGAGGAGAATAGAGAAAAGACAAGGGTGAAGGTAAGCGAAAAAAACTGTTGCTTCTCCGGTGGGAATTGTGGTTCGATTACCGCTTACCGGGCATGTGCCCTTACCATTAGACTACAGAGGAGCTTATCTTTCTCCGCTTACCAACGTGTTATTATGCCGACACAGGAATGTAAAGGACCCGGGGAGGACAGATAAAGGGAAAAGAGAAAATATATTTAGCGTAAAAGGAATGGAAGAAGGAGGGCAAAGCAAGGGATAGTAAGAGAAACGAAGTGAAGAAAAGAAGGGAAAAGGAAAGAAGAGCAGAGGGAGGAAAAAGCGGGAAAAGAAGTGAGATAAAAAGAAGGGTAGACAAAGGAAGACAAAAAGATGGAAAATCAAAAGGAGTTAGGACAGGAGGATAGGGTGGAAGAGCAAAGAACAAAGAAGGGAAGATAAGAGAAGGAAAAGGAAGAAAAGGGAAGTAAAGGGAAGCTACTGGAAGATAAGGGAAGAGAAATGAAGACAAGCGGATAGATAAGGAGGAAAGACAAGAGACGAGAAGGCACGAGATGAACATGCAAGAAAAGAGATGCTAAAGAAAGAAAGTGCGGTGATCGAATTTGAATTAAAATTTCGCCCTGAAAAAAACAGCGGCGCGAAATCGCATTAGAATAATCTGAATTTGAAAAAAAATTCAATCAAGAAAATCGTTAAACATAGGCAACCGTGTGCAAGTTTAGTTCTTTTCTGGTAGTTGGTAGCTCTTCTAGGGGAATTTCTGGGGAAGTATCTAGTAAAAGGGTAGGTAGAAGTTTACTTGTTTGGTCGAGGGTAGGAGATTGTCACTGTTGTTTTTGTTTTTGGTGAGTGAAGCATGCGGTAAGCAAGCTAGGTTAACTTTATTTGGTTTGGTAGTTAAAAAAAAGGAGGAAGCCTTTGGTTAACGAAAATTAATCGTAATAATGACGACGCCACAGTTTCCCCAACACGCGTAGCTAATTCTTGCGTGGTGTAAATTTGTTTTATTGTTTGTAAATTTACAATTCATGTTAGGATTTTAATCGTTAACTGGTTCTAACATAATTTAACAGTCAGGATTTTGTTCAGATACAGTATTTGCTAGAAGATTCCATGAAATTCACTTAGTCAGGACTCATCCTTTGTTTATCAAGTTATAAATAACTTTCTGGGTGCTTATACTTAAGTGTTACATTATAACACTTCTGAATTCCTCACATAAGATTGCTAATAGTTCATTTACGGCAGTTAAATTAACCTAACGTTGTCCCACTCTGGAAAAAGGACCGTGGAGTTGCAGTTATCATCGAGACATATTTTCTCGCGGTGCTGGATGCATTTTGTGTTTATTTATCATGTGATTGTTTGGGATAAGCTGGGGATGATCCACCATATAAACTCTAAAAGCTAATTGTTTTAAGTAACCAACCACTTGGATCATGGCATAATTTAATATGATGTGAATTCTTTGTTTGAATCGTTGATATAGTGTGACGTAATTTAACTTCGCGTAAATTCTTTGTTTAAATCTTTGATAAAGTGTGGCAAATCTTAAACTCATGTAATTTTGTTAGCTTTGCAATTTTTCACCTCATGCAATTTTTCTCTATCTCACAATTTTGCCTTAGTAATTTTCTTTGTTGTTTAATTGAAACTGAACGTAAATTTGCGTGCTCTGCAGTTTCTAACCTCACTTAACTTTTTATCTGCACAAATTTTACTTCACATCAGCTTGTTTTTTTTTTGTTTTATATAAAGCTTTGCTATTTCTTTTTCCATGTAAATATTTTGTTGATTAATGCTTCCATCATTTTCTGATGTATTTTAATTTCCGATAAGAATTCTTTGTTGTTTAAAATTTCACGAGTGTGTATGGCGAATTTAAATGTTGTTTTGTTGAAACCTTAACGCTTGTTCGGTTGTAATTTAATATTAGAGTCATTGAAAGTGAACATGTAAAAATGAGTTGAGGTAAATAACGCAATAACACGTGGCGGAAGCGGAGTACGCGGTTCCTGGTCGAGCTGACGGTCGCGACATCTGCCCAAAAGAAGCAGGTCTTGAATAGAAGTCGGGATGAGATGATAGTGTTGGCTTGTCCCAATAGCCGAGACCCAACCACGAGTTCGCGACCGTAACGGTCTGCTCGTCTAGGCACGTTTCTTCGTGATAGAGGGGTGCTGGGCGGCAGTGCTTGCCGATTGTATAGAATCACCGTCGTGGGTAGGAGAACAGGCCCAACCTGGAGCGCCAAACTCCGGTCGTGCTACAACCCCCTCTATGGGTAATTCTGCTATGCTCTAGAATCAAAATTGATGTTGTTCGGTCGCCATACTCTTATAGCGACCCTTTTGGAGTCATAAGCATTCACGAAGAGGCGTTCTGGTACTCAAGAATTTTTTTATTAAAATTTTGTTCTCTTGTTGACTGTCATAATTTAAATTTGCCGCCACACGTTCGTAATAACTTGTGTATTTGGATCCAGTTACTTTAATTCAGATTTTTCTTTGTTTTTCTTAAATTTGTGATATTCAAATATCAGCATTAATTCAGAACGTTTAATTTGATTTCATTCAAAGTTAGGCAAGTTTTTTTATAGCTGAGCGAGCATTAAGAGGTGTCTTCAACCGGCACAACTTAGTTGCATCTTTTTTTCTTTTTTTTTTGTGAGTGAAGGAATGATTTTGTGTTACCCATATATTTTGTGTTTTCTTTAGCGGTAATAATAGGGTTCCATTTTGTTAGACGATAACAGCCAAGGTAATTTTTTTTATTTTTTTTATTTTTCACGGGCTTACAATTTATTTGTCACATATCAATTTAAGGCAGGATGTTTGGGTTATCACAGAAGATAACAGAGGTGTAGGGAAGAAGATACTTGACGCTTGGAAAAATTTAAAGCAGTATTCGACTGAGGATGACGGATGGAGAAACTTTTAGAACGTTCTGTTCGAACAAATAACTGCAAGTCCAAAAAGGGTGAATACGGAGGTTTAAAAAAGAAATAAAACCGGAAGTGACACTTAAAAATAATACTAAGTATTTGAAACCTAAAAAAAATATTAAGATTTGGACTATTGGTACTGAAGAGAGAATCAAGTTGATAAAAATATATGCAATATTTTACTTTAGAAAAATATTACCGGTATAGTAGAGAACAATTTCATCAAATAAAATGTCAAAGAAAGGTATTAAATTGAGTCCATCGGTGAGTACGAACAAATCACTATAAAGTAGTGAACCTCTATTTGAAAATAAATTGTGAGGAAAATTACAGTGAAGTTAGAAAGCACATACAGTGAAATGAAAAATAAGGGTCGAATAGAAAATCTGACGAAAAAAATGATCGAATATAGACAAAACTAATTATAGAATAACGTGCAGTTTACTAAGTAGTATTTACATAGTACTGCATTATGTATCTAACCAAGGTTAACGAGTGCCCTTAGTTTTTGCGTAATAGGAGTAAAATACAATGAACAACTAGACACTTTTTGACACTGATTTTTAGACGAATTTTAAATTTATTTTGCAACTCTGACTAAAAGCAAATTTCAGTTTTTATGTACAAACATATGTAATACACATCGTAAAACCCAAAACCCTCTAAAAAGAGGCAAGCAAAATCGTAAAATCTCTTACAGTATAATACAAGTGATTATAAAAACTCGCACATCAAGTCGATTTTGAAATCTCGTGAATTTTCATGAATTTTGTCTCATTGCCTGTCAATTATAATCTAACTTTCTTAAGTGTGACAATTTGATTGCAATTAGCACACGTTATATTCACACAATAATCTTACTTATATATGTTACTTTTAGATTATAATACATTGTTTGATGAAATGGGGAAGCGGAAAATTCTTATTAAACATGCAGTAACATAAATTTTTCTATCATACCTGCCACTGATCCAGCTGCTGGCTCAGCTCCACCTTCTGCTGGATCGCTTCTAGCAGCTGGCTGTTCGCCTGCATCAACTCGACTCTCGTCTTCGCCAGTTCAACCTCCGCCTTCGTCTTCCTCTGTATGGCTACATCCCTATCCTCTCTCGCCCTCAGTACCACATCTTCTTGGGCCAAAGAAGAATTCGAGGCGTCGTTCCTCGCTCGATCTCTCTCTTCGATAACAGCCTGAAGTTCTACTTCACAAACTGAAACCTACAACCACCGTTTAGACGCCGCATGGTCCTCAACCCCATACTCACTTTACTACTCAGTTCCATGAGTTTCTCGGATCGCCGCTGCAGTTCGGAATCGCGGTCTTGGATTTCCCTTCGGGCTTGCTCCAGCCGCTCAAGCAGTCTGACGACGTCCGTGTCGAGAACTAAACCGACTAGCTCTTGGGCAACTTCGCTGAGAAGTCCTGCGGAAAATTGGGCATTTTCTTCGAACGATGTCGTAGAACAGTCGGAATGCAAACCGCTGTCATCGTCGTTGTGCGATTTCAGTTGCTGGACCAGGGATCGCAGCTGCCGGTAAACGGACATGCATTCTTGAGAAAGCGTGGGTTCGCTGATATCCATTTCTGCTAAGAGAGATCGTTGTTCACCGGCTGTCGTAATAATACACAAACGGTTAGTTTATGTTAGTAGAACTGGGTTTTGTTAGTAGGTGGTGAACACATTGTTAGAGAGCTAAGACAATATACAATATGGCAGTTATGTTATTGTGTACAATGTACACAATAACATGATGATGTCGCAGACGGAGGTACTCCCAAGGGACTGTCTGCGTCGCTTCTCATTCAAACACATACGTACACTTCATATATATTATTTACACTGAAAAACGGCAGAATTTTCAAGTTCAAACCCACAAACTCATGAATTGTCACATTTTCAAATTGATTTGTTACAAAATCGTAGCTAAGATAGATCATACAAATATAAACTGTTAAAAAAAACACCGGAATTTTGGTACATGACTTTTGAAGTCTCCTGCGTGTTTTTTAGCAAAAATTATTGAAGAATTCAAATATCACTAAATTTGGGATATATACATTTAATCAGGTGTTAGCTGGATTGGTTTAAGTATAGTTTTTGCCATTTATATTGAAACGCCACTGGTTGTTCGTACATTTGGCAACGTTTATATTCAGACAATTTTGTAACTAAAACCCGTGCTCAATCAACCGAAAGCTGTTACCAATTATTGCTAAATTTTAAGCAAAATCAACAGGTGGTGTTTCAACAGAAATAAGAAAGACAATATAATTTCATTATGCTAGTGTAGATGTATTTACATATATACCAAATAAACTTCATTTTAATTTTTTACAAAAAATATATGAATTTGACATTTAAAATCAAGAACCGTAACGCTTTTGACTCTATTTTTGTATACTTTTCTGTAAAATTGGATTTTCCTTCATATTGCCACCTCCGTTCTTGAGGATCAAAATCGAAATTTACCTCGAACCGTTGTTGATCAGAAATATTTTGTCTTGTCTTTGAGTGCATTTGTTAATATTAGTGTGCCGTAAATTGAAACACAACCTGTTTTCAGTTAGAAAGGATATGGCCTGTGGCAAGGAAGTCCAGGACAAATTCACTGACCCAATGTGAGACCAGCGCATTTGTCCAAATATATTTGAGACGCCTATGACACCTATGACTTCTAACAGAATGGAAAGAATGGAAATGGAATAGTCAATAATGTTCTAGTGACAAACATCTTGAAAAATGGAAGGCAGTATTTGAAATAAAGCTAAAGGTGAAGAGTACTCTTGTAGAGGTAGTTTGTTGTATTTTTGTTAGAAAACTTTGTAATAAAAGGAAAGAGGAGAGAAGTCTAGAAGAGGAGAAGGGAAAATGAGAGAACGAAACAGGAGGGAAATGAAAACGAAAGGAGGAAAAAGGGGGAAAGGCTGGAAGCGGAAAGCATTAGCAGTTAAGGAACGAAGAGATAGGGAAGAGGAAGAAAGAGGGAAGGAGGGGGGTTAAGAGTGGGGAAGTTAAGGGAAGAAAAGAAGGATAAGTATAGGGAAAGGAGAAGCCAATGGAGTAAAAGGAAAGAATAGGGAAGGTGATAAATGTGAAGGAAACATAATGAAATAGAATAGAACTCAATGGAACAGAAAAAAGCAAGGTACTGACAGAGAAGCAAGCAAACGAAAGACAATGAATGCAAAGGAAGGGACGGAAAGCAAGCGAAAGTGTGGGAAGAGAAGGCAACAGAGGAACAGTGGGGATGGAAAGAAAAGAAAAATTGCAAGAGAAAGCACACGCAGAAAATGGAATGGAATGGGAAAGGAGGGAAGACGAGATAAGGAAAAGAAAAGGAGGGAATGGAAATGCGGGAAGGGGAAAGGAGAGAAGTGAAGGGAGAGACAAAGAATGGATAAAGAAAGAAAAGCGAAAGAAAAGCAAGCGAGGGAAGGGAACAAGGAAAAAAGGAAAGATGGAAGGAGAGAAAGAGGAAAGGATCTGGAGATAAGGGACGAAGAGGTAGGGAATAGAAGAGAAGCAAATGGAAGAGAAGAAAAGAGAAGCAAAAAGATGAGACAAGGAGGCAAGATAAGAAAACAGAACTAGAGTCAACGAAACAGAAAAAAGCAAAGGGATGAACAGGGAAGCATTCGAAGAATGGAAGTAAAGCAAGTGAAAGGGAGGGAAGCGGAGTTAAGAAAAGAACAGCAGGAAAAGAAAGAGATGAGAAATTGCAACAGAAGACACAGGAAGAAAAGAGAAACGAATCGAAAAAACTAGAGGGAGAAAAGGAAAAGAGGACGGAAAGGAAGGGAAAAGGAAAGAAAAGAAAAGAAGGGGAAAGGAGGAAAGGGGAAAGGAGGAAAGGCGAAAGGAGGAAAGGGGAAAGAAGAGACGGGACAAAGAACTTTTTGGAAGAGGAAGGAATCAGGAGGTAACGGAGGATAGGAGATGAGAAGGCAAGCTACGGAAATGAAACGAAAATCAACGGAACAAATAAAAAACAAAGAGATGGACAAACAAACGAAGGAAAGAAATGGATGGAAGGGAAAGTAAATGAAAGGTGGAAAGAAAAGAGAAAAACAGCGAGCAAAGAAAGAGAATTGAAATTGCAAGAGAAGGCAGCAGAAGAATAATGAAGGGAAGAGAATGGAAGAAGAGGAAGAGAAATGGAGGGAATGGAAAAGGTAGGAAGGGGAAAGGAGAGAAGTGATTGGAGAGGCCAAGAAGGGAAGAAAAAAGAACGACAAAAGAAAGAAAAGCAAAAGAAAATCAAGAGAGGGACGGAAACAGAAAGGGAAGGAAAAGAAGAGGTAAAAAGAGAACCGGGGAGAAGGGAACCGGGCAGAAAGAAAAGAAGGGAAAAGAGAAAGAGGAAAGGTTGGCAGAGAAAAGGATCAGGAGATAAGGGACGAAGAGGTAGGAAATAGAAGAAAATGAAAAAAAGGGAAGCGAAGAGTAGGAAAGATAAGAGAAACAAATGGAGATAAGGGTAGGGAAGAAAGGAAAGGAGAAGAAAAGAAAAGAAGGGGCAATGAGCAAAGAAGGAAAGGAATGGAAAGAAGGGAAAGGATAAAGAACAATTTGGAAGAGGATGGAATCAGGAGGTAACGGGGGAACAGGTAGTGAAGAGGAAGAAAGGGAAAAGGGGAGAAACAAACAGCAGGGAAGATAAGAGAAAAACAGCAGACAAAGAAAGAGAATTGAAATTGCAAAAGAAGGCAACGGAAGAATAATGACGGGAAGAGGAAAGTAGGGACGTGAAGAGAGGAAAACATAGAAGATAAAGAATGAAAAAAAAAGAAAGAAAAGTAAAAAAAAGATAAATGGAACTTAGAAGGCGAACAAGACAGGAGGAAAGAGAAATAAATGGAAAAAGAGAGGGAAGCGAAGAGTATGAAAAACAAGGGAAGATAAGGGAAGACAAGAAAAGTAAATGGATGATAAGGGTAGAGAAAGGAAGATAAATGGATTTAGAGGAAGAAAAGATAAGGGAAGACAGGAGACGAGAAGATAAGATAGGAGAAAGCAAAAGAAGAACATAAAATAAAAAAAATGTAACAGAGGGGAAGAGAAGGAGATAATTGTTACAATATAAGTTGAGAAAAATTCAAAATAACATTCGATTAAAGATGTGGATAGAGCAGGTTTTAGAAGGTTCTCTTCAAATAAAAATCTAGAAATCCTGTAGTATTTTATTTAAAAAGAACATTACCCTGACAGCAGAAGGTAACTCCATCACCAAATGTAATGTCAAAGAAACAGAGTTCTGGGATATTCCATCTGTGGAGCGAATACGAAAAATTCGCTATGAAGTGAAGTCTCTAATTAGAACGAAGTTGCAAATGAGTAGATGGCTGAAAGAATCAGAAGACATGGGAAAAGAAAATGAGAATGAAAGAACAGATAAAAGAGGGATACAGTCAAAAAAAATGAGTCGAATAAAAACAATAATATAAAACTAGACCGAAAGACATAAAGCCAAACTAAAAAGCGAGTCATAGGTTCCCAGGTAAGAAATGTTTTCAAATTTTTGGAGACTTGATTTAAAATCCAGCAAGTGAAATTCTTCAGCGAAAATGAAGATGAAGCTACTATCAACTATCGGCAAAAGTAGATAACTGTCAATTGGTAGAGGTGTAGAAGTAAAGTTCTCAATATTTCAACTGGACATCTGAGGTAAAAAACAAAAATGGATAGTTGGCGTCTGTTTGCGGTATGGAAATGATCATACAACGTGGACAATAAAAAGTAGAAGACACAATAGAAGCGACCAAATAAAAAAAACGGGAGGACGGAAATCAGAGTTGGTTTATGGCTTGGATAAGGAACATCCTTTAAGGCCATAATAAACATTACAAAAAAATTGAAGCGATTCAATTCAAAGTATTTCGTAGCCACATGTTTGCTAATCAGCAGTGTTTTATTACTTACAATTTTTTTATAACAACTACGCTCACGAATAAATATCTGAAGTCGTGTCTAGACCTTACCACGTAACACTTACCCCACCTCAACATCACATGTTATCAACACAATAAATACAAAATTATTAAGCGACTACACTAGAAGCGACTTCTATTACAACAAGGCTTGACTCTGCGTATACCTCGTGGTCTTCATTTACACAACTTAATCATACCTTCTCTCATCACAAGACAATTCAGGCCAAACTAACAACACATCCCCACTCCGCTTACCATTCAGTCTATCCTCTACAGACAGCTTCTCCTGCGGCAACGAATAATCCTTCAACGAGTGCTGGTACCTTAAATCCTGCTCCCGGGCGTGCCTTTCCAAAAGGAGGATCCTATCAGAAGCTTCCTCTAACGCGTTTGCCAAACTATCCCGCTCCGCTGCCGCCAGATGCAGTCTCCTTTCCAACTCCTTGTTCTTTTCCGACACTAAATCTAACTCGTCCCTTAACCCCTCCACACTGTTCATATGCTCGTGCAAGTTCGTTTTGCCTAAAGAACACTCTTCTTTCAAACACTCGATTTGTTGTTGTAACTGTGATTCGACGGTGGCGGCTTCTTTCAGCTGAACGGTTAAACGCGCGTTTTGGGCGTTTAGTTCGGCAACTAAGGTGCTTTTTTCTCGGTCCCATTGTTTTAATATGGATTCTTTCGACGCTAGTTTATTCGATAGTTCGGTTATATCATTTTGTAATTCGAGGATTCGTCCTTCAAATTCTGATTCTTTGTTGGCGAGTTTACGTTTGAGGAGGTGGCGGTCTTGTTCGACGGCCTGGAACAAGACGAGGGGTAGTTTTAAAGGATTTAGCATAATTGTTTTGGAATTGTTTAGCATACTATTGTCGCAAATGTAGGTATCGTATTGTAGGCGATTTGATAAGACAACCGAAACAAAAAATGTAAATAGGTACTCTATCCTTTCGCAAAACATTTGGAATATGTTTAAATATGTTCACCGTTCAGATTCTGCGATGACAAGATCTACGATTTAATAAGATCAAGTTATCTTGGCAATTTATAGTATGTTTGTAAATGATAAACGATTTGTTTCTAGGATAAACTAAAAACTTATGTACTTAATGGCTGTAAAAATGTTAAAGCAATGCTTTAATATTTTTCTTTGATATTTCATAACTAGAAACGGGCTCAAATGATTTTTTCGAGGTTATACGAAAATCTGCCGCCACAAAAGCAAAACAAACAAAGTTGTGAACTTTGTAAACTATACTTTTGTAACATTATATCTTAAGTAATTACTAATCGATAGTGTCTATGTAGGTAAGCGGAGAAAAATGTTGTTACCTCGGTGGGAATTGGAGCCACGCCTCTCGCATTCCGGGCAAGCATCCAGACCACTAGACCACAAGGCGACTTATCTTTTCTCCGCTTACCAACGTGATATTGTGCCGCCAGAGTCTATATAGTTAAAATTATTATTTATTTTTCACTTCCTGGCTATAAGCTAGGGAAGTATTACAACGGGGCAGAAAATTTTGGACGACATTTTTCTGTCATTTTGAAAATTTTGAAACAGTTTATTCCTTATTGTCACTTTGACATTAGAAGTTTAAAAAAATTGTCATCATGCTTGTAGTGTCAAAAAAGATAAAACTAAAAAATATGGTAACAATACTTAAAGAGCATTGTACACTTTATGACAGTGGAGTGACACTGATCGTTGTGCATTATTATTGATGCAACAAGCTGTTATTTGTCATTAATAGATAAAACAAAACCACCAAAAGAAGAATCCATTAAAGCATAACCAACTAAACACTAGAGAAGATGTTCAAAATTCCTGTCTTTTGCATATAACTAACCTCGTAATGTTTCCAAATTTTGATCATTTTTTCTAAAAGTTGTTCATCAGTACTTGCCAAGATAAAACTGAATTTGGCAAATACATACCCTCTACGAAAAGAGACGGTGTGTGGGTGGGGCTAGTAGCTGCTAAGATAAGACTGATTTTGGCAAATGACATACCCTCTAAGAAAAGAAAGGGTGGGTGGGCGGGGCTAGTAACTGCAAAATAAGACTGATTTTGGCAAATGTTGATACCCTGTAAGAGAAGAGAGGGTGGGTGGGCGGGGCTAGTACCTGCTAAGATAAAACTGATAAGAAATTGTTTTACTATTTTTCCCAGTCTCATCAGTTGATTGTTAAGAGGGTAGCATCCGCCATTTTCCAGACACCCGGTATATCCTTAATGGATTCATAGTCATCCACGTGGAATTGCTTTTAAATACATATAGGATGCTGGGGTGTATAAAAATATTACAATAATAACCAATTGAAAAAGTTTATATTTTAACTTTCCATAAAACTCATCAATCAACTTTAAATAAAAAAAAAAACGCGATAGGCTGAAAAGGACGTTTCTTGCCAACAAAATAAACATCTATGTCAAGATACGAAAAAAAAAATCTAATAGGAAAGTGATTTATGTTGTTTAATGCGGAATTTTAATAGATATTATAACCAAGGTGTTCTGCCGTTTTTAATCGAGAATTGATGTATTTAATTTTAAAACCGTATGAAAAAGTAAAATAAACTAAATACTCTAACTGAGGATAATGACAATCTTAGTAATTCAGCAAACAATAATTCAATTAGAAATTTTAGTACTAATTATTTCGCGTAAAAACGATATTCACAAATATAGTAATAATAGTAACAATATAAATAACAATATAATAATAATCTAAACCTTTTACGAAAATTTCTTTTGTAACTTAGTAAAAATTCACGTAAAGTACCATCTGTCCGTTTCAGTTGTATCTCATAAAATTTTATAAAATGTTTTCGCCGGTGGGGTCAGGGGGACAATGTAGAATATATTTAAAGCACATAACTAACGGGATAAAATGTTCTTCAGCACTAGGTAACAGCAATTTGAAGCTCTGTGTTTATTTATGTTTATACATCGAAACAATGTCACGTAGAAATTAGGTTGATTTGAATGAGTTTGTCTTCTCAAGACAGAGGACTAATATTATTAATTAAGCCACAATCGAACAAAATGTTCTGAATATTATAATTCTTATTTTATCATAGTTATATAAAGACGTGCGTATTCTTCACATTTTCGAGAAAATAGGGTGACTTGTTCTTACTTTGATCAATAAAAAATTTGTGATGATAGGATTTAATCATCTACATGATATAGATACAAAATTTGACAACAATTGGAAGCAGCTTCGGAGATTACGAGTTTAATAAAAGTGGATATAGACACCAGACAGACAGACAGATGGAAACTGGAGAGGTCTCATGAAACGTCGAGAAAACATAAAAGTGGCCATTCGTCTGATGAACTTGATTACTAACTATACTTCCTTAGCTTAAGCTCGGGTAGTAAAAATGAATCGCATTCGACGCTACGGTCCTCAACAAGTGTAATTAATGTAAGATCGGTTTATTAATGATTTCTAATCTGAAATTTGTAGTAAAAATTTAACTATTTCATAAAGACCTGTAATTCTTCTTGTTTTTAGTTCAGAGTTTATGTTAAGATTTTTAAATGTTCATGGTTCTAAGACAATTTTACAACGATCATGAAGATGCTCATATAAAATCGTGTATCGGAAATTCAATTATTCAGGTTTGACCTATTTTTTAATGATTTGTCTAAAAGTTCTGGATATTTTTACTTAAGTTATTACATTATTCACACCATATGATTTAAACTAATCTTAAGTCCTGAAAGTCATCAACAGTTAAATTAATGTCATAAATTCGAAATGTGAGGTGGAGTTTATGTTTATTTTAATGTGTTATTTCCTTACATCTGAATTATTTTCTGTCAGCTTGAATTTGAACATTTATTCTCGATTAATATTTTTCACTGTATTTACTTTGTAACTGTGTGTTTATTTCATGTGTGCTTTGTTTTATGTGTTTTATGTTCAATTTGATTGAGTCAATAAGTGCTCATTCACAATGGCAATAAAGCGTAAGGATGTCCTAAGCATTATGCTCATTGTGAACGAATAGAAGCATAGCGCACTAAACATAAATGCTTCTGCATTAATGCTTATGACATCCTTATGTTTTATGTCCATTGTGAATGAGCACTAACTTGAATTAACTTGTAATTATAATACTCACTTTGTTATAGTCAAAATTCGGCACTTCAACTCAAATTTAGAGACCTTGTGTCCTCGTCGTTCTCACGTGAATGTTTATTAGCAACACATGGGTATACTATGTTACCATTAGACAATAAAAATACAATCTTCATGCATTAAATTCAATTAGAAATGTCCGCACAATATAACCTACTTTCAGATTCGCTTTGTAGGAGTTAGAAACGGACTTCAACTTCCATAATGGAATTAGAAGCACATTTTACGGTCTTTTATCCACAGTGAAAAAACCTCTAGATGCACGTGACAAAATATTAGTGTGCAAGACTTGGGAACACTTCAACAGGCGTGAAAATAAGTAAATTTTTTCACTAAACTTACACAAAATTCTTGCAAATGTACAGCTATTCAAATCTGCGGAAGCAGAACCACTGTTGCAGTAAGCTTGGATTTCCTCGATTAGCAAAGTAATAAAGGCGTAACAGAAATTTGCTGGATAAAAAGTTTAAAATTTGTTTGAATTTGCTTTTGTAAGACAAAACTGTTATTTCTATTGGCATTTGGTACAGTACAAAGTAAAGGTCAGTTAAAATTATAGTGTGATTATTGCTTTGACCCTGTAGTTCTACATTCAGTAGCAATAACCAGATGGTCCTAAGATCGTCACAGTATTTGCATCTGTGCATTTCAATTCTTTATTTAAAAAACAGTCTCGTTCAAGACTACACAAAACGTTTTAAGTTATTAGTTAACCATCCCCTTGCGGTTACCTGAATGAAGAACTCTGAGAAAATCAATAACCGCTTAATTTGCGTCAGAACACACTATCAATTTAGTTGCGACTAACAATTAACCATTTCACTACTCCAAAAAAATTACCAAAAAACATTGGCTACAACAATGAAAGGAAGCGGCTGCACTACGGACCAGATACACCCAGGTGCGTGGGTGGGCCCCTTCCGGTCTTTCCAAAGCTACCCTCGATACCGGAAGCCCGACCGAATCGAACTATTTAATTGAAACTTTTGGGAAATTTCGTGTTTCCACGAATTCTTTCTCGCAAGGCCGGTTGAAATTATTGACGCGCTACTAAAAAAATGTAACAATAGTCGCATGAAATTCAACGCATTACTCATACAAGGTCTTTGACTATCTTCGTTTCGGTTGGTTTCCAATTTTTCGTGTCGTTTTTAAGCATGGAGGCGTTTAAATTGGCATAGAGCTACCGGCGAAGGTGTGTTGTCCTTCGCTTTTTGTTTAATTGAGATAAAACGTCGCGTTGGCGACCTTTACCAAGTGGTTTCGTTATTATGTGGTTTGTGGAGCGAAATGGCACGTGCGATGTAGGAGTAGGTGCTTTTGGGGTGGAAAATTGTATGACGTTTGTGGCTATTTATTTGGTTGCGCTGTCATTCATAGTGTTGTTATTGTGATTATTAATTGCTATTGTTTAATATGATGTTTAATAAAATGTCACGTCGAAGTGGGCGCTGTTTTTGCCGCCTTGTTGAAACAGAGATTATAATCGAAATTGAAGTTAATTGACGGGCATTTTTATTGCTTCTCATCACAATACACTGATATTTTACTACGACTATCGAGAAATTAAAAAACAAATAAAAATATTGTTTTTTTTTTTTTTTTTTAAGAAGTTCATTGTAATTTATGTAACTCAAAAGACAGCTTA